GGATAATAATTATTAGTTCCCAATGTTTCAAGGTTCGAAATACTTAATATGGAGCTTAATATTTAACAGTTCATTTAAGAATCTGGATCATATTCATAAAATTTCTCATTTAATTTTCTTCTGCATTGAATCGATGTTTAAATTAGATGTTTTTAGATTGTGTTCACTACGATCTATCAGTTTAACCATTAAATACTTTATTTTTACTGGACATTTGGCAACCCTGTTTCTGTATGTTTTTAAAAGTGTCACTCGGTGTTTTATTTTAGTGAAATATTCTTGTTTTATTTATTTATATGAAAGAAATTATTTACAAACGTGATTATACATTTCAAAACAGTAAAGAGATGCTTAGTTTTCCGAACATTTTTGACCAAAAACACCTAAAACCAATGCTTGCTATTTTCACAGGTAGGTTATGTCAAAATCAATCTCATGAAATGTAAATAATGTAGATATCCATGGGCGTAACAACTGTGCTAGGGTTTTTTTTATTTCTTGATATAAAAATACCTAATTGTAGAAACTGGCTATTTTATGGTATATACGTTTACACGTTTCCGAGAGACATTGTCTAATGTCATTGTGGCTGAACAACTTGAAAATAAATGAGCAAAATCTCAAAACTGAAAGATGCCAAAGTTTGTTCAGATCACTTTTCACATGAATATTTATTTAGCTATAATAATCGAACATTTTATTTGAAATCCAATGTTTTGCTAATAGAGTAAGTAAACAAGTGTCTTTATATACATAGGTACTTTCGTATTGTTATAGGTAAAAGGTAATTTATAAGTATTTATTGCAAACGTCTACTTACACCTAGTTAAACAATTCGTTTCTGAAACTAAGTGTTATTGAGGTCTAAAATACTGTGAAAAATAGCTGTTATAATTGTTGTCTCCCAGTTGTAGTATAATAAACACAAAGTAAACTTTTTTGATTATACCAAACCCATTATTGAAAACTTATAATTTTTTTAGTACATACTTCGTTGAGGGAAGTAGTATAGAAAATGTATATGTGGAAACGTATGATGATTATATTCGCTCAGTGCGAAGTTATGGTAGGGGAAGCAAAAGCGATACTAGCGCAAGCTGCAGATAATTCGACCACTTTAGGGCGATATTTTGTAATTTTGGCGTATCAAATACACGTATACATTTTACTTTTTTTGCAAAAAAGAAGTAAGAACAATGTAATAAGCAACCGTAGTTGGTGTGTACTAGAAGTAGAATCTCCCAAGGTATTTATTTATTTTTATCTTCTAAAAAGTAAGTTTTCAATTCTTTTACAAAATTAAATTATTTTTAAATTCTAAGATATTTTCTAATTTATTTTTTGTTTTTAATTTATTCGGGTTCTGTGAATTAGAAAAGGAAACATCAATCCACGTCCTAAATCAATGTGAAAGCCTAACTAGATTGAGGTTTCTTATACTAGATGAAGAAATGCCAGACACAGGTAACTACATGCATGTGGATGCCACTGTCAAGGAAAATGAATCTAATAAAAAAGTCCAAGCTTAGATGACATACTCTAAAACAAACGGAGTCCCACAATAGATCTGAAAAGGTCACGGTGGACACGGACACATAATGTCAAACTCCTTTTAAATCTAATATCTAAGCTACCCTTATTTTTGACAGAAGCGTCGTGACATGCCACTCATATTTTGGTAAGCCCTTTTTGTACAATTAGCTATCGCATCGGAATTTTTAATAATTTTTACGTAAAAGTCTTCAGTATTCTAAGAAATTCATGTATTCGTTTAATTGGGCATTTAGAAGCAAATTGATATGAAAATATTGTTTATTATTCGCACTCATAAGGAGCCTGTATAACAATTGCAAATGGTTACAACGTTGCCAACTGTCAGTTAAAATGTTGAATATTGCATAAAATCATGGAAGTGACTCTTCTTTCGAAATATATACCAGGGCTGGTATATCTAAGGGGGTCGCGACATAGACCCAGTAAATGGACGAGGGGGTGACTGAGGCTAGGGGGGAAATAGTAGTCAGCTTAAGTTGGCAACACTTTTCTGACGTTCGTTTGAACGAGCATCGAGCATAATAATGTCAATATGGTACAAGTGGAATGAACCACTGTTTTCCTCGTAGTCCAATGTCGAATTAAAACTAAAAACATTTTGTACTTTTTTATATACCAAATTATGCAATTTGTTTCCATTTTATTTTAATGTTACATGAATAGGTACATGCGTTTGTGCAGTGGTAAATAAGTGTTCATGTGAAAATTATCTCTTAAACTACATTGTGATTGCACTCATCTCAAAACTGAATGCTGTAAATCCAGGATTTAAATCTTTCATAGTGTTGCTTGGGATAAATTGTAAAAAAGGTGTTGGACAAAACGTTTACAACCTAAAATTGCATGAAAAACATGATAGAAGAAGGAATTTTACCTTTATGACATTCTCTTTCAACATTTTTAAGTGACTTTGTAGTTTGGTGAATGGACTGTTACCACAGTCAAAAGATTCAAAGTAAAAAAAAAGTAACCAAGTTCTAATAAGAATACATAAGTTGAATATGAAAATGTAATTACTTGATTTAAATGTGATTTAATTAAGAGTTAAATAGAGGTTTCATATAAACAAAGTGCTGTAAAATGTTAGTAAATGCAAAACCATTATTAAAGAGGAATTAGTTATCATCAATAAGATATTTTGTAGTAGCTGGTCTCTATAAATAATAAACTTGAAAGACTGAATTAGTAGTCAGTTTTACACTAGAAGTAAAAACAAAAATGTGTGGTTGAGACTAATTTATGTATTTAATAATAACATATTTAACATAAAAGCAGGTGTTATTTGAAATGTTTTATTGTAGTTTAATAATCTTTATAAATTGTGGGTACATTTGATCCGAATCTTGCAAATACTATAAAATGCATATGCTTCTATATGGTTAGTATTGGAGTAGAAGCACAAAAGTTTTGAATAAAAATATAGATACCGGAATATTTTGCTTGATTACTAAACTTTGGATGTTTTTGTTGTAGTCTGCTGTTAACACTATTGTCCTGAAATATTAAAAAAGCTAGACAAAGGTTTGTCCAACTCTTTTGTCAGCTTTGTTAATCTATGCTACTGTTATTCTGCATGCAGACATTTTCTCTAAGAACTGTATACAGTTTCAAATTTCGGCCAGTTTTAGGAAAGTACCTCTGTTATAAAGGTATTTCAAATCCATCCTTTGTAAGATGTAGACAACAAATACATGCTAAAATGTATAGAAAACAAATGGCAAGATATTACACAAAATTATTTAAATTAACTAAAAACATACAAATGAAGTGAATAATACCTACCAACAATTTAAAAAGACCTAAAATAAATAGACTTAAGGGACTGGAGCTCTAAAAAAGGGAGCAATAATTTGTTATGCATTATCTATAAGAAAATTGTCTTCATGTCTTCAATTACCTTTTAAAATAAACAAAACTAAAACAGCACAAAATTGAAAGTGATCTACTTTTCCCGACGTATTTTATGTACATTTGAGATTAATAATTTATTAAATTGAAATATTTTATCCTAAAAATATGGGCATTTTATAATGGAAATGTCATTTAAGAAATAACATTGATTTTTTTTCTTATATTGGTAAACCTGGCGACTACAAGTTGCCACGTTGCCAGATCAATGGCGACTACTATGTGACTACTATTTCGAAAAAAATGGCGTCCAAAATGGACTCCTATGTCGCGACCCCCCTTAGATATACCAGCCCTGATATATACCTATTGTTTGACAGGTCGTTGGAATGCCTAATAGGTGCCAGTGGGAAATTATTGTATATCTAAGGGGGGTAGCGACATAGACTTGCAGTTTGGACGCTATTTTTATTCGAACTAGTACTCGCCAAGCCTGCCAATTTATGAAGATATGTATAGGTGGGTTTTTTTAAATATTATTTTTATTGTGTTTGACATAAAATATTTAAATGTAATCCATTATTCATAATTTTACGTAAAGTAGATAGAATACACCGTATGTCGCCACCCTTAAATATACCAAACCCACTGGCAATTCATTTGTTTGGAATGCCTAATAGGGTGCGTTTGATTTGATTATCGGATATCTCCGAGCGCTGCGAACGTGTTTGAATTGACAGTACAAAAGTGTTTGTTTCGCTTTGGTGCGAGAACATAGAGCAAGCTTGATATTCTCTGAGCAGAACACATACTTTGATTTTCTTTTACTATACGGAGAATGGTCGCACTGCGCAGCTTTCTGAGTGCCTTTTAAAAGGAGACAGAAAACTCCGCCATTTTGAACCCTTATTACGTGTTGCCTACATCTTGGCGCAATATTTTTAATAGGTGCGTTTTAATTATCCGCTTCTGCTTCGGAATTGTCGGTTTTCTTGTTTTAATCTGACAGGATAAAACGACTAAACCGACAAGTCCTGAAGCAGAAGCGGATGATTAAAACGCACCTGATATTTTGCTTGCTGCTGTCAGTGTCAGTGAATATTATTTTTGAAGTCACAGTTTATTGCTAAAGAATCAGTTAGCTCACTCGGACCAGTTGAAAGTTCCAAAATAACATCCACTCCAGGGATACAAATTCAGGATACGCAGAAGACTGCTGTTTTATTATAGGCGGTTGTCATATATTGTATTATCCGAGTTGCACAGTGTATAAACTAAAACATTGAGATCCAAAGTGCCGACGCAGAGTGAGCGATCTGATTCCTTACCTGTAAACTGTGTCACAGGGTTCAAAATGGCCGCGCCCTATGTTGGGCGTGTCGGACCTCTCTCTTGCCTCGTATAGTAATCAAAGTATGTGGAGCAGAAGGATCGACAAGAGGGAGAAATTTGTCTTTGTCTCTCCTATCTCTATTTAATTAACCTATAAACAAACTTGAATCTCTTAGACTAGCTTGTCTAAGTTGAATCTCGAAATTTGAGACGAGACAAGAAGTCAATAAATTAGTTGCAATCCACAGGCAGCTATTGTTTGACAGGTCGTTGGAATGTCTAATTGAAATTGCTCATGATGTTTTCTGTCATTTTTTTTGAAAGTGTCTAATGTTTCTAAGAAAAAAAATCCTGAAATATTTCAGTTATGGAACCACAAACTAAACTTCAATACTCAGTTACTTTTGACGAACGTGATTACGCATTTAGCACAGATTCGACGGAAGCTATAGCTAGCGACGACGAAAAATCTCCAACATTTCAAAAAACCAATTTAAGTTCAAGTGTTATGGGGGGCGAAGGAGGAGATGCAAATAGTGATTCCTCAATTAGTACTAGTATATTAGATGATGCCGACGAGATTAAAGCTCTCAAACGTAAAATTAACGAATTAGAATCGCGAAACAAGTTACTAGAATATGAAATTGAAAAAGTTAATTTGTGGTAAATAAACACACTTTTAAGATTGTTTAAAATATGTTAATTTGTTTTTATTCATTTTACTTTAGCTTAATACACGAAAGAAATAAAAATTCAAAACTAGATAAGAAATTACAATTTGTCAAAGATAATCAAGACGTATTTATAAAATTAAAAGAGGCTTATATTAATATGAAGTACAACGAAGCAGCTGGACGAAAAATGATAGAAATTAGGGAAAAAGGTCAACAAACTTGGGATGGTATTTTATGTAGAGCATGTATTGATTCTGAACAGACGAGGAGGCAACTAGCAGCTTTGCAAGAAACATATAAAGGAGCGTACATTGTTAGACCGTAAGTATTTGTAAACTTAGTTTTCCAATGAGGGATTGCGTCTTTTTATCAAAATAGATGCGTCGCAGGGGAATTTTTATGTATCAAGAGTTCACCGTGAAATCTACAAAAATAACAATAATATAAGCGGTGGGTGATACAAAAATATCTCAGCTTTAGTAAGTAGGCTTGATTCTGATTGTCTAAAGGAAAGTAGCATGTAAAAGTTGTTAAAATTGTTGAATGTTTAGAGATTAAGATAAAGCTGTATGCTACACGCATTTCTAAAAATCCACGATGTGGTTGAAGATGATTAAATGTGGTAAACATGGGCTGAGTTTGCAAAGTAATGTTTGGAGAGGACTTGCTTCTTACAACTTTGTACGAAAATGAAAAAAGATAAAAAATTGTGTGTTGCTTGATTGAATATTGAAACTTTTTGTTGTATCTTATTGGAACTGAGATGAGGCTATTTAAATAAGAAGAAATCAAAGAAGCTGCATGTTTATTTTTTTAAGTAAAAAATGTGGTAATATTATTATTTCAATTTAATATTCAATTGGATGATAAACTAGTTTTCTTGAATTACTATTCTTAATGTATTATAATACAACAATAATACATTTTAGATTTCAGCTGGAACAACTTTTAAACACCGTTAAATGTCTGAAGGACACAATCGATAAAAGAGAACAGACATGGTCGTTTAATGCTGAAAGGGATGATAGACTTCGGATACAAATAGAAACCCTCGAAAGTGAGAATTCTACGTTACGAGAGATCTTGAAAACAAGACAAATTAACCCGTCCGAGGACACGTTTGCTTATGATACATCTAATTCAGAACTATCGATGTTGAAAAAAATTATTGTTAAATACGAGAAGAAAATTAGGTAAGTCTTTGTCTTATAAAAAGGTGTCGAATCAGATGAAAGTAATTTAACACCTTGTGATAACAGAAAATCGACAATTTCTTGAAATGTTACATGATGATGTATGTTTATGTTTTAGAGAGTTTGAGAACAATAATACCGGTGCGTTAAAAATATCAAATTCATTTAACGATAAGGAAAAAAGGCAAATAACCCACCTAATGTCAAAGTAAGTTAACTTAGGTTTTCTGTAGTATCCAGTCAATACATTGTAAACCAAAATATAAGCTTGATTTAGAAATATTTGGTCGAGGTACTGCCGGACATTGTTTTAACAATGTGGTGGTGCTCCATCCTGCTAGAATTCATCTTGTGGGGTTGCTGACCAGGATATAAATTTTCCCAAGTTGACACATTATTTTGGAGCAGTGTTATACAGGGTGTTTATTAATTGAGTGCCGATACTTAAGGGTGTGAATTCTTGGGTGATTTTAAGAAGAAAAGTTAATATCAACATATGTCGTAAATCTCTTAATTTTTGAGCTACAGGGTGTTACAGTTTTAAGAAAATAATAATTTTCTTATCACTGAAGATATTTCTATGAAATTTTGTAAACACCTTTTAATCATTAAGGAGCATTTTTTGACGTATAAGATTTTTTTTAAATTTTTACCAGTGACTTCCGTACGGGGTTTGAAGTGAATATTTTTGAAGAAAAAAATGATACGCCACTGCCTTTTCTAAAATCCAAAATTATTTTTAAAATATTCATTTATTTTTGAGCAAATTTGGACCATAGACTTGTTTTCGTACTATGCACTGTGTTTGCGTAAAAAAATAAAAACCAAAACTTTTTTTTTCTTAAGCTGCTTTTGATTTTTTGTTGAAATTTGGTAGGCACCCACCATGCGTGAAAACACTTATTTTGGGGCAAAAATTAATTTTCTACTTCCACCAGTGACGGCCACGTAGGCATCACATTGAATGTTTGGATAGAAAAAAAAACGTACAACTCTGATTTTTTTAAATTCTATGTATTTTAAAAATCGGGATTTATTTATAGTAAAATGAAAATTCAAAATCTTGAATCTAAAACGAAATTACAAGAGAATACAAACAAAATAAATAACCCAAATTATTTACATTAATTGTTGGAAGTGTCCTCCACCCACACGTATGCAAGCATCTACTCTTCTTCGCATAGACTGACGCACATTTTCAAAGATTCCTGGGGTGTTTCTTATGGTTTGGCAGCAGACTGTTACACGATTTCGTAACTCTTCTTCGGTTTGAATCGGCACTGCGTACACTAAGCTTTTCAGATGCCCCCAGAAAAAGGAACTATTAAGGTCGGGAGATCTAGGCGGCCATGACTGCGTTCCTCCGCGACCTATCCACCGATTGCGATAGGTGTGATTTAAAAATTCACGCACTCGTAAGCTAAAATGTGGAGGCGCACCATCGTGCATTAGCCACATCTGTTTTCTTAATAAAAGAGGAAGGTCTTCAAGCATTGGCGGCAGACCATCTTCAAGGAAGTGTAAATATGATTGTCCATCAAGTCTTCTTGGGAGAAAAAATGGGCCTATCAAATAATCATCAATAATGCCAACCCAAACATTTAATGACAACTGTTCTTGATGATTTGACTCAACAATTGCATAAGGGTTTTCATCCGCCCATAAATGGTTATTATGGAAATTTATTATTGAGTTTCGAGAAAAATTAGCTTCATCGGTAAAAAGAATGTGCCTGTCAAATAATGGATTTTCCAGCAGGTTTTGAAGAAACCACTCACAGAAATTAATGCGCAACGGGAAATCTCTAGGGAGTAATGCCTGGACTCTTTGAATGTGATATGGGTATAACAAATTTTCGATGAGAATTTTCCAAACAAGTACATGTGAAACATTAAATGTTGACGCGATTCTCCTCGTGCTAGTTTCGGGGTTCTCTTCAATTTCATGTAAAATTCCTTTTTCAAGTTCCGGTGTTCTTACTGTTTGATGGACTCCTTTAGCCCTGTGGTCTACTTTTAAAGTTCCGGTCTCGTGAAGACGTCTATGAATCCTAGAAAATGTTCTCGGATCGGGTAGTACGCGATTTGGATACCGCTCTTGGTATATCCTTCTGGCTTCGTATGCATTTCCGTCTGCAAGCCCATAACTAAAATGCATGTCAGCTAATTCACTGTTCGTAAAATTTACCATTTTTTTCAGATTTTAACTCTTACTCTAATAATAATTATTTAATAATGTAAAATCAATGTCAACTTTATTGTCTTTATGAAAAAAAAAAAACGTCAAAAATGATGACGCTTTACCCAGCCTAATAATGTTTATTTCATTTGCTTTAAGAGGGCAATAATGCGCTTACCATTTTTTCTATTCAAAACGTAGAAAATTAATTTTTGTCCCAAAAAAATGTTTCCACGCATGGTGGGTGCCTACCAGATTTCAACAAAATATCAAAAGCAGTAGGTATCAATGAATTTAAGGAAAAAATTTGACCAACCACTACAATGGTTTTTATTTTTTTACGCGAAAACGGTGCATCGTACGAAAGTAAGTCTATGAACCAAGTTTGCTCCAAAATAAATGATGATTTCAAAAATAATTTTGGTTTTCAGAAAAAGCAGTGGCGTACCATTTTTTTCTTTAAAAATATTCAGTTCAAACCCCGTACGGACGTCACTGGTAAAAATTTTAAAAAATCTTATACGTCAAAAAATGCTCTTTAATTATTAAAACGTATGTACAAAATTTCATAGAAATATCTGGAGTGATAAAAAAATTATGATAAAAAAGTAATTTTTTTCTTAAAACTGTAACACCCTGTAGCTCAAAACTTAAGTGAGTTACGACATATGTTGATATTAACTTTTCTTCTTAAAATCACGTAAGGATTCACACCCTTAAGTATCGGCACTCAATTAATAAACACCCTGTATAATTATCTCCATCCAAATTGCCATCAAGAAATGGGTCAAGGGACCAACGACATGGTTTCTTCTCTCATCCAGTAAGGATTTTCATAAGAACAGCAGTGATAATTTTGACGATTAGTATGGCCGTGAAATGTAAATAAAAGTACATTAATCAGAAAACACATGTTTTAGTTGTGTAACATTGTTATCTAACTTTTTCATCGTTCGCTCAAAAAAATGCGTTCTTCAATCAAAATCGTTCCTGAGAGAATGTATTTTATGCATATTATGTTTTTTTACTGTTCGAAGGATCAATTTATCAACGGCATTTCTTATTCCATACCTTTCTTCAGGCGTAATTGTATGATACTTAACACACTGTATTATTATTCTGTGAATCAATAAAAAAAATGGACCCGTAATAAATATTTTACAAATATTTCATTTTTAGATATTTAACAAGAAAACGTGGAAAAAGTTTAGAGAGTAAAAGTTATAAAGAAAATGAAAATAAATCTCAAATTAATAAATAATATTGATTCGTTGGTTATGCTGTAAATGTAACATAATAAATGTTTTTTTTTTGTTAACAAGTAAATTTTGGTTTTATCTTTTTTCGCTTCTTGTTTTCCTCATATCATCATCCTGGTCATTCTACAGGAGCCTAGGATTATGCCTACAAGGCGTATTTTTACGTGTATAGTGATATATTTTAATATAAATAAAAATAATATATTATTGTTCTAAGGCCTACTTCTTTATAATATATTCCAATACAAATCAAATATCCTTAAATTAAAACTTATACTCAAAAGGATTTTAATGATATTTCAGTTAACAAAAACTAAAAAAAAAATGATAAATTACTGAAATAAGTTGAATAAGATTAAAAATAAAAATGTTATTTTGATGTTTTATTATAAAAAATTACACTTGGTAAAAAGGGAAATAAAATAAATAAAACAGAAAAGTAAATTATTTTAAGGAGATGAAGGGTTTATATAAGGAAACTGTTTTCTCTCAAATGGTTCACTACAATTAAACGCTTTGGAATAAAATTCGGAATTCTTCAACATGTTTCTAAACCTGAGAGGTGCTGGTAGGCGTCTATTATAGTAATCATCAATGAAATCAACTATTGTGTTTTTGTGGCAATATTCTAAAATAAAAAAAAACGCGTCAACACACAAAATTCGTAGATTAATGCCATTAAACCTATTTACCTTGTAAAGCTATAATTATGAACGACTGTTCTCGGGTATAGTCTTGCATGAACGGCAAATATTCCAAACTTTTGTCTTTAGCGAAGGTGTCTGTTTCCAGCCTAAATGCCATATTATCAGAAAATATATTGTCATAGCTTAAATGATTTCCAGTTGCATCCTAAAAATAAAAAAAAACTATTTAAAAATAAATAATAGCACCTGAAAAAAATAATGTACTGGGCAATATATTAGTATGGAAAACTCCAATATCTCCGGCACTATTAAGGACTTGGGTGAACATAGCAGATCAAGCTTGGTAGCTAAAATGGCTCTTAGGAAACTGCATGCCAAAAAAGGGTTTTCTACTGATTCGAAAAAGGTCACAACAAAATTGCATCCCATTAAGGTAAGGGTCACTTATCGTATTTTAATAAAGTCTAATTTACTTATTTTATGTTGATTTCAATCAATCAGCAAGTCTTCGAGAAATCTTCTTCTCCTTAAACTTCGAGTTTCAAGTTTTTTGGGATTTGAACTTTATTAATTTTTATATATGTGTTAATTTGAAATTGAGTTATCACATTTATAAAAACATTCACATTAGGGTGAGTGGCGTAAAAGGAAGCATTATATTTCGAATTAAAAAACTCTCAACAATTGGTGGTTCTCTGCAAAAAAGAGAATGCTCTCCTCATATAATTGGTGGAAAAGATGAGCCTTCTGCAATGTAATTGTCAACGGGATAATCACAGAATTGCGTAACTTTTTCATTGACAGGCTTAATTTGTGTTAAATTAGTTGCGAAAATGTCGCCCACATCTTCAGAATGAAGAAATAGTGATTCAAAAACAAAGGTTAAAACTTTGATATTTCCGTTTCACTCTCCCCCTTTTTTTGGTACTCTGTAGCTAAGCCTAATTCCTGAATTTTTCGGTACCATGAGTGCCATAAGTGAAAGCGACAATCTCGTAGACTTGCTTCTGGGAACGCCTTGTAGATGCTTTTATGAATAGCAATCTCAAAATCTGCTGTTATCAAAGACATTACAACTAAGAGACCAAATTGTTTACATTTTATGTGGCAAATCATTATCCCACCAGATTATCGTTTCTTTATAGGTTACTGGTTGCTATTTCAACCGGTTTGAAAAACATCAACTTCACAAACTTGCACAGCCTAATTTTTGCAGGGGTGGGAAACTGGTATGCGCAGGCCTGGGATCAATCAACCACGTCCGCGTGGCGCTGCAGTCGGGTGGTGGGGTAGATGGTGGGAGTGTAAATGATAGGTGAATATTGATTTTTGTGGGGGTGTCATGGCGTCTTGGCTTAAACCAAACGTAAACTTTGTTTATTTATATTGGTGACTGTTGTATTCAGTTGTTTTCATTTCCAATTTGCTTAATTGATTTAGTTGACCACTGTTAATAAGCTTGTTTTTCCATTATAAATTTGTGCTTTTTCCGCTGTTATTTTGTGGTTTTTCATAAAGATGCGTAATTATAGAAAATGTGTACCGAATTGCCTTGTTGTGGACAACAAGATGCATCGCCTGCCTCACCCTACGAATTCACCCGATTTATTTGATATTTGTGCACTTGCTGTTCGTTGTCCAAGATTTAATAATAAAACAAGACTACAAATTTATTCCACCTTTGTAGTATGTCATAAACATTTTGAAGAGAAGTATAAAGTAGTTGGCTCTCGTCGAGGTCTAACACCTGAAGCATTTCCAAATTTCCAACGCTATTCCTACCAGCAGTTCCTGGAAGAGTAGCGGATGGACTTTCCTCAAATAACGTAGAAATTGAATATGTTGATCAAACACCTTCTACTTCAAGTAAAGGTTCGAAGAAGAAGCAGACTAATAATATATGTTGGACTTCTTTTCGAGAAGGAAAGTTAGTAATCTACTCATTTATTTTATACTTGTAATAATCTTTATACTGTGTATTTTCTGTTTCATGACATTTGGGGTTGCAAAGCTGTATCGTAGAAGAAGAAGCAGACTAATAATATATGTTGGACTTCTTTTCGAGAAGGAAAGTTAGTACTTATTTATTTTATACTTATTGCTGTGTTTGAGAATCCACATCAGATGCATTTTTTACATCTCGAGCGTTTTTTTTCCACATACCTATATATAAAACGTTTATTTAGTCAAAAAAACTATTTTTTACATGTCAATACATCTTCACATTTAAAATATAAAAAATACATAAATATAGAATCAACATACATTTAAAATGCAATAAAAAATACATAAGATACAGTACACTTACATGTCAACTATACAAAACAATAAAAGAACAAGAAAGAGAAAAAAAAACGTCAATAGGTGAACAGGTATTCATGCAGTTTTATTTTAAATATTGCCACATTTGAAGAACATTTAATATCCTCAGGCAAATTATTAAAAGCCTGTACACCTTTAAAAAACACTGAATTTTGTGTACATTTTTCTTGTTACCTGTTTAGGTTCATGAACATCCTGATTATAACTTAAAATATTTTGTAAATATACTCTGGAGATTCCTGATTTAATTTTAAATATAAAAAGCAGGGAATAGAATAGCAAATATTTTTTAACAGTCAACCACTGAAGCACATTCAACATGGAATTGATTGGTTCCAATCTCAAACAGCTCAGTATTATCCTCAGACCTCTATTCTGCAACTTTTGCAATCATTGCAACTCATTCTGGTTGAGCAAATACAGTATAGTGGCACAATAATTAAAATAAGGTAATATTAAGAGTATTATAAATTATTATTTTAGTCCATTTGCCGAGATGTGGAGAACAGCGCCTAAAATAGTTTATTTTAAATCGGACACATCTGTCCCATTACATTTACGTAAATTGAATCACGTGATCAAAGATTTACTACATCTCAGTTGCATCCGATGTGGATTCTTAAACGCTGCATATACTGTGAAATTTGTGTTTCATGACGTTTGGGGTTGCAAAGCTGTATCGTAGATGTTGGACTTATTAAAAAATAAAGTATTCCTCGGACTTATAATTTTTTATTAATACATTTATTTTAATGAGATTGTACTTATACTGTCTTTCTTTTTTCACAGCTAAAGTTCTTCACAAAATGATGGACAGTGTTGTATCCTGGAATATGTAGCAGCCATCCAGCTACTTCATACATAATACAATTTTCATATACATTACATTTTTTAAATATTGGATTTGTATTATATATATTCTTTAATAAATTTATTTATTGAATATTCTTGTTTTTTTTTATCTAAAAACTGTTAGCCAAATTAAGATTTGTTCACACAAACTGCATTTTTGCTTTATTATAGCGATATTCGCTATAATAAAGCAAAAATGCAATTTGTGTGAACAAATCTTAATTTGGCTAACAGTTTTTAATGCGGATAATTTTTACTGTCAAATTTGAATAGCCCCGCGCTTTTCTTCTCTTCTTCTTTTTATTATTTTCTCTTCTTTCATATGGCCTCTTACCAGACAAGGACTTAATTGAAAAAAAATCAACCACGTCCACCAGGTGCCGCTAAAAACTCTATCATCCTTTTTTAACATGGGAGTTACCGTTCTAAGAGTAAGTGTTCTGTGAATTTTTGTACCCATATAATACAGGCAAAGAGCTAAACAAATACTGGACTAACATTCGACCTGTTTCGATGCACTTATGAAATCGACGACAACCGGTTGTTATTTGGACCAGTATCTTTGTAGCACAATAATTAATAAGCACGTGTTTTTGGTGTGTGTGACAACAAACGTGATTTTTTTTGAAAAAAAACTGAAAATTTTAATAAAAATTGAACAGTAAGTACAGTATTATATCGATCGGTTATAGGTCAATGGGCGTAATCTCCAAAATGCAAATTTTACAGGAGACAAAAAAAACTTAGTAATTTTTCTTCTAAGAGAAAAAAAAATTAAATATTACTGGGAACAATTTAATAACTTGGGCTAATTAATTTTGTTTGCAGAAACTCATAAGCAAGCCCTTAGTATTTCTAATTAAATATTTTGTCACATTTATGTGGGTTAAGGCCATGGGCGAAGTTAAGGGGGGGCTTGGGGAGGCTAAGCCCCCCAAAAACCAAATTAGCCCCCCCAAAAATAATTCGAACATTTATCGCACATTCACCCAAACATTTCAGATTTCAGAACAGAAATTAAAAAATAAAAAGAATCGTGCCATTTGATTCTGCAATTTTACATTTAGTTCAGGAGGCAGTGAATTTTTTTCGTATTCATTTTTCCAGTCGGTGTATATGAAAAATAAACTGTTCTCTTAGTGACAAAAAACAAAATTTTTGAGTCTGACACTTATTTTCCCAGTCATAACTATTTTACATTTACTAAACTAGAACATAAAGCTTATAAAAATGGCAGTTTGGATTATCTCAGATAGTGGAAAGGGAGTGTGGTAGAAAATTGAGCATATAAATTGATACAATCATGAACTGTTTATAATAATAAGTCTGGCTGATTTACGAAATTGGCTAATGAGTCTGGTAATATCTTCTAAATGAAAAAAATATAATATTTTTGCTTCTATTTTCCCGGGTTTGAAAATTTGTCACGTGATAGATTAAATTATAAATTTTACACCTCCATTTTATAGCCAATCAACTGCTTTTATTTTAAAACACTTTCATGACAACCAGAAAAATTTCCGGAAATTTTTCTTTTGGTGGGTACCCTGAACGAAATTATACTGAATTTTTTTTGACAGTTGAGCAGCTCTTTCATGCATATAAAAAATTTGCCGTTTCAGTGGTTAATATTTTATTTAATACCAATTATAACTAGGTAGAAATACACTACATTTATTTTATGTAAAATAATAATTAGGTTTTTCGCGTCAACTAAACGACTTCAAATATGACAAATGGTCATGGTATGGCCACAGCATATAAAACATATGTTTTATATTCTGTGGTATGGCAAAGTAACTTTCAGAACCTTTGAAAATTTGATTTTAGTCGTTTTAATGCATGTCTGTCAAGTTTTGAAATTTGGATAATTTGGTGTAAAACTTTCTTACCCAATACCAAACGTGCCTAAATTATTATCAGTAAATTTTTGCACACTCACGCATATTTTAAGAACATTATCCACCTACTTAGGATAAATTTCAAAATATTCGTAAGTGAAAATACACGTCTGGCTGACAATTACAATTA